ACACAAGAAATGTTGACTAAATCTAAAAGTTTATTTTATTTTATTTATTTTTTATCCTTACACGAGGACATTTTTCCATTTTTTGTTCAGATAGAGTGAGAGGGAGAGAGAGGATGAGAGAGAGGGAGAAACATCAGTATGAAAGGGACCATCGAGTGGAGTGGCTGCCTCCCGCACAACCCAACCAGGGCCGGGGACAAACTGCAACCGAGGTACGTGCCCTTAGCGGGAACCAAACCCGGGCCTCCCTGGACCGCAGGCCGACGCTCTAACCGCTGAGCCAAATTGACCAGGGCTAAAAGTTTATTTTTGAAAAGAGTAAATTAGCCCTGGCCAGATAGAGCCCTGCTCTATCTGAAGATAAATGCAAAAATGTCCTCTGGTGAGGATTTAAAAAAAAAAAAAAAAAGTAAATTAGCTAGTCCTCTGGCAAATATACCCAAGAGAAAACACCAATTTTTAAAAATCAGTCATGAGAAGATGGCAGTATATAAAATGAAATGTATTATTTTATTTTATTGGATATGAAAATATATGACTTGATAGATTTTTTTTTTCCTTTATTGATTTTAGAGAAAGAGGAAGTAAGAGAGAGAGAAATGTTGATGAGAGAGAAAATCGATTGGCTGCCTCCTACATGCCCTTCATTTGGGATTGGGCCCACAACCTGGGCATGTGTCCTGAACAGAGAATCGAACTGGTGACCTCTTGGTGCATGGGTCAACACTCAACCACTGACCCACACCACCCGGAATGAAAATATATGACTTTGTAAAGAAAAATACTGACTAATAAAAGTATGTCAGGTGATGTGATATGTTGTAGCAAATGTACCACTCTGATGGGGGATGTTGATAACGGGGAAGGCTATGCATGTGTGGGGTCAGAGGTATATGGAAAACCTCTGTGCCTTCTACACAATTCTACTATGAACTTAAAACTACTCTAAATAATAAAGTGTATTTAAAAATAAACAAATTTATATTAAGACAATACCTATGTCAAGTGATAAAAGGAATTTTTAAAATTACTGCTACACTAATAACTAAGGAATGTTTTAATTCAAAAGATAATTAGGGATGAGTTTTGCCACTGAGTTATTTCAAATACATATAAAAGAATTTTTCTATTATTTGAGCCATCCCGTGTATTGGAAATATTAATGTAATAAGCTAGCTATTTCATTAGGAAAAAATTCATGATAATCTCAGTTAATGATGAAAAAAGACATAAATCATTACTGATCAACGATTCATAACTTTTAAAAATCTTACAGAATAAAAACTAGGTGGATTTCTTGACATGATTAGGAATATTTTACTAAATTCAAAGGTAGAGCTATTCTCCTAAAGCCTAGGAACAAGATGAAGATGCTGATTGCCAACATTTTTACTCACCTTTACTCTGGAAAGTTCTAGCAGCTGGAATAACACATGAACGTAAACCATACCAGCTTCAGTTTTGCTATATGTGCAGATTTAGCTGAACTAAAAAAATAATGAAGCTTTTAAAGAATATTCATTTCAATCACCTCTTCATATTTTAAATTTTAGCTACTAAAATATAAGATTAGTGTTTTGGCTGGTGGGGGCAGGATTCAGGTCTGTGTGGTTTAACAAAAAAACAAAAGTTACGAGCATTGGAAGTTCTAGGTATCAAGTCCTGGAAGTGAGTTGTTTACAACTAGACTAATTTTCCATACATCTGCTTTTTATTTATTTATTTTTTTATCCTCACACAAGGATACTATTGCATTTATCTTCAGATGAAGCGGGAGGAGAGAGGGGAGAAGAGAGAAAGAAACATCGATGTGAGAGACAGAGACACATCAAGTGGTCGCCACCCACACGACCCCAACCAGGGCCGGGGACAAACTGCAACTGAGGTACACGCCCTTAGCACGAACCGAACCCGGGCCTCTCTGGTCTATGGGCCGATGCTCTAACCACTGATAAAACTGGCCAGGGACCATACATTTGCTTTTACCTTTTTTTTCCACATTAAAAAGATGAAAGAAAATTGCTTAATAAATTGCAATTAGGCATGATAAGTTGCAAAGGAAAATGCTTTAAGCACTTTATTGTTTCCTCCTAAAGGTAGACTAGTCAAACCAAAACATGCAACCTATAATTTTAGGTAGGGTATGCAAAATTGCTTTATTGCATCGAGATTACTATTTTATGGGGGATGGAAGGATTTTTCCTTCCTCCCCAACTTTATACGTGTTATTAGTTTATTTTCAGAAGCGTTAGTATGAATTTAACTTAATTTTTCTTGAAAAGCATTTGTCAGGCTGTGAAGTGTACATTCTGCAGACTCTTGGTGTCTTATTTTAAAATCTTCAAGACAAATTATAGTTTCTAAAGTTTTCTCTTTTTAAATCGTTTCTTGGCCATTTGCCTAAGATCAAGTGTAAACTTTTAGTTTCTTTTGTATTAGTCTCTCTACAACGTATTCCATTTGAGCAAATGTTGGCCATATAAACATCAAGAAACCCACTGTGTTGAGTTTATAAATCTATAGATTAGGTGATAAAGCAAACTGGGCTTTTCATTAAAATTCTTTCTATTTACTGACTGTCTAGAGGAATATATATATCTCTCTATATATGGATATATAATATATATATAAATGTTTCTATTGATATTTTTAGAGAGAGGGGAAGGGAGAGAAAGAGAAACATTGATGTGAGAAACATCGATCAGCTGCTTCCTACATGCCCACTACTGGGAATGGAGCCCAAAACCCAGGCATGTGTCCTGACCGGGAATCCAACTCAGACCTCTCAGTCCAAGGGAGGATGTTCAATCCACTGAGCCACACCGGCCAGGCTAGAATATATATGGAGCAGTCTTCCAGGCTGTTGTCTTATTACAAGGGAAAAACAAATCCTTTGAATTCTTTCAAAAATGATTGGGGTTTTCTTAAATCTACAAATCATTTTAGGAAGAATTTAGACGATCTATCTATGCAGGAAAACGATGTGCCTCTTTCTTTTAATTGGGACCTTATTTTTTAAAATGTAACTACTGGGAGGGAGAGCATACTTTTTCTGGGAAAATTTTTCTTGCAATAACTTCCACAAAAAAAGCAGAAAATTCAGCTGCATGGGTTACTTGAGACAAAAATGGATTCACACTCAGGCAATGAGATGATGGAAGTGAGGTGCCAGTTAAATGGCAGAGCTGGTAAGCGATGACGCACAACCTCCAAACTCAGGCAGGAACGGCAGGTAAAATTCTACTGCAAACTGCTACTCATGGATTGAATCGGAGTGTGGAGACCTATAAAAAGCAAAGGGTACAAGGAGCAAGACCTCAATTGTCATCTGTGCTTTTGGTTGCTGAACCAGGGAGCCCTCTGGCAGACTTGTGCATCTCCAATTCCCCTGGGATTTCATGCTTCGCCATCCCTGACGGAACGGATTTAGAGCACAGAAGCTGTTGACATCTTGTTAGTTCTGGGGAAATAGGACTTCTGAAGAGAAACGACAAGCCGAGAAAGCCCCATGGGATTCAGAATGTTTGGCCGTGGAGCAGTTTTAGGTGCCTGAATCTTTTCAGAAAGAAGCTCTCGCTGAATTCCTGTTCCCAGATTCCCTGCTAGAATTCTTTTCAAAACTGAGAGTGACATCAGAAGTCATTCCAAGACAGCCCTGAGGCTTAAATCTCCTTCACACACTTAAACCTGCTATAACGTACTTGAAACTTCCCTTTTCCAGACTAACCAATCCTTGTCTAACAGTCAAAGAATCCTTCTTACTACAGAATTTTAAAGCCTTTCCGTCTCCCCAGTCTGTGTCAGTCTGCTCTGATCTGGTTTTTTTTTAAATTATTTTTATTAATTCATTTTTGTTACAGATGTTTCTCCTCTTTTCCCCATTGACGTCCTCCTCCCCATCCCCCCACCCACCTACTCCTCAGCTTTGTTGTCTATTTCTTTGTAGAAGAAGGGACCCCAGTGAGGAGCGATTTCTCCAGGGACAGCTCATTTGTACACATGGGGGCAGACTACCTATTCTCTGCTTCTAGACTTTATGGGCATATTTAGATTTGACAGTGCAGAATATGTGTGCTGCTGCTGCTGATTAGTCACCCAGTCCCCCCTGAGATAAGACAGTAAGTATGTTGGACTTCATAGAAATATATAAATGAGAAGGTACAAACTCAAATGAGTTCTGCAGCCAGGCCAGTAGCACCAGTGTGATACCATCCAGTGACCATCAGGAGTAACAGGGAGCGGGGTAGCCAGGAGAGCACATAACATTCCTCAAGACAGGCAGGTGGTTCGTGGATATCCTCAAACACCACGTGGGCCAAATAAAACACTGAATTCACCCACGGTCTGCAGTCTGCTGGTGCTGCACTTCAGCCAGCTGCTGTGTGGCTTTAGCCACCCCACGCGGAAAATCGGACCATCCGATGTTCTTGTGCTGAACAAATAATACGTGGAATGCTCCAAAAGTAAACTCTTGAAAACAAAACAGTTTGCTACAAAATGAACAGCAATTATTTATTTTAAATCTTTCAGGAACAAACTTTCAAAGGACCCTAACCTTCTCGTGACATTAGGATTTTGAGATCTCTTTTTCCAAAGCTAAAGAGATTATTGTTATTCCACAAATCCTTATTATGATTTATTTAGTTAGTTTACTATATGGCAGACACTATGGTAAGTTTGTAAAGCAACCATCACCAAAAGACCATGCAGTTAGCACCGCCCACAGCTGGTACAGTGCAGAACTTTTGTTACAGTTATCCCTCTCCTCTTTCTTTTCAGTGATGCGATACATCATTTTTAACCAGAAATCCACATGCCCGGCACAACCATCCTTAGGGGGAAAAGAAAAATCATTACAAAATTTCTACTGATTTATTCTGTAACTGTTCATAGACCAGTAAGAGCAAGAAATGAAAGCTCCTTGTTTTTTAGAGAGTTTCTTTTCTTTTCCAGTTATCATAGATTCACCTCTTATTAAAACACACTCCCTAATATTGCAGACAGACCTCGGATGGAGAGTCAAGCCTTTTCCACTTTGAGGGGCTGCCTGTCTGCTGGACAAGAAGAACTCATCCTCCTGCAGGAGAAAGTGAAGAACGGGAAACTGTCTGTGGACCAAGCCCTTGAGAAATTTAAGCACTGGCAGATGGGAAAGACTGGCCTGGAAATGGTTCAGCAGGTAATACTGACCCCGACCCCTTCTGAAACAGTCTCTCGCTCACAGAGCTCCTTGCCTCTTTGTGAATATTGAGTCTTCACAAGACATACAGGTAACTGTTCTTTTGTTTTCAAATAGTCACAAAAATAAGGTGTTTTCCAACTACCAATTAAAAATTGATCATATCCAGACTTCATGTTTACAAACCACTGGTGAACTCAATGTTGGGACTCGATGTATTAGAGCTAATACCTAACCAGGCTGTCATGAGTAGAGTGAATGTTTTATGAATCTCATTGATGAAATTAGGGTGAAGCATCTTTAGACTAACATGTGCCCAGCATTCAGAAGAGTATTATATAGACCAGACTTAAAAGAAACAAGAAAGAGATTGAAATTGTATCAGGCAGTGTTCCTAAGTGCAATGTAGTAAGTATTCCCTTTTCTTCCATTTAAACTGCCAAGTGCGTTAACTTCAGATGATCTTAGTCTTGTCTTCTATAAATATATGTAATTTACATCCTGAGAGGGGACTGGAGTAGGTGGTTCAGAGATGAGAATGAAAACAAAACGCACCATATACACCCAGGACATTACTCAGGGAGGGGTATCAGACCTTATTCTATGTGTCCCAAAGGCCTTCCTATTTCCAAAACATTCCAACAGTTTTTGTCTTCTCATCACAGGATGTCCCAGTTCTTAGAAACCAGTTGTCAGGCAGCTGTTTGATGAAACACATTTAATTAGCTAGTTTAGACCAACGTATAAATAATAGCTTAATATGCGCTCTTTCTCAAGGGATTATATTTTATCTAAAAGTAATGCTTGGGAAGACAATGTAAACAATATGTCATATACACAGGAGATAGTTTAGGTAAAGGGACTGTCTCATTACATCTGAAATGACCCCATGCCAGAAACCCTCTTTCTCTAAAGGCAGCTCTGGTTGTGGGTTGGTGGTTACACGTGGTCTAGACTTTGCAGTGCTAAGCAAGGGCAGTGATTTTGCCACACAAATGCGAAAGAACGCTGATTGTAGAGTTTTGTGACTGATCACTGTTCATGCCCCTCAGTCTGTGCCAATACGATCACCATCAAACATCCCTCTTATCCTGAAATGGGTAAAACATGCTGAAGTGCAGACATACAAATCACTTTCACAGAAATGCTGGATTATATGAATTGTATTGAAATAAGTCAGCTGTACTTCATCCTCCTTAGACTTTACAATAATAAGGTTTACAATTTAGCCCTGACCGATTTGGCTCAGTGGTTGGAGCATTGGCCTGTGGACCAGAGAGTCCTGGGTTCGGTTCCCACTAAGGGCACATACCTCAGTTGCAGTTTGTCCCTGACCCTGTTGGGGTAGTGCAGGTGGCAGCCACTCGATGTGTCTCTCTCACATCAATGTTTCTCTCTCTCTCTTCCTCCCGCTCTATCTAAAGATAAATGCAAAATAATAATAATAATAATAAGGTTTACAATTTAGACTAATCCAACCTACATTCTTCTAGGAAATGACTTCACTAGTTATTTTATTAAACACTTAATTGTTTCTACTTGTTTGTATTTCTTTTTAATATTGTTTTGGAAAGAATTTAAGGTGGTCAGCACTCACTGCTTTGAGACTGATCCGATGTATCTAATATGAAGGGACAATGAGATAGTGAATATGGTTAGTTTTTATTCAAAACTAAACAAAAAAAATTAATCTCTATATTAAAAAACAGGCTTTAAGGTTACTATCCATAACAGCCAAAAGGTTAGTAATTCTCCAGGTATCAGTTACTAATTTTCCATCTGAGATATAACTGATATATAACATTGTGTAAATTTAAGGTGTTCAAAGTGTCAATCTGATACACTTATATATTGCAAAATGATTGCCACTATAGTGCTAGCTAACATTTCCATCATCACATAATTACTACTGGGGGGCAGGGGAAGGGGAGAACATTTAATATCTATTCTCTTAGCAACTTTTAAGTGTCATTTAATATAATTATTATGGTATACATTAAATCCCCATAACTTATAACTGAAAGTTTGTACCCTTTGACCAACATCTTATCACCCAATCCACCTAGTTCCTGGTGACCACCATTCTACTCTCTGTTTCTGCGTCTGACATTTTAAGATTCAACATATAAGTGATATCATATAGTATTTGTTTTTCTCTCTGACATTTTTTACTTAGCATAATGCCTTCAAGGTATGTCCACTTTCTTATGGTTAAAGAAAATTCCACTAAATATACTCTATGTAAAATGTATATATTCCATATATATATCATATCTTCTTTATCTGTTCATCCATTGACAGACATTGAGGTTACCTCTATTTCTTGGCTGTTGTTAATGATGCTGTAGTGAGCATGGGAGTGCCGATAGCTCCTGATACCCTGTTTTCACTCCTTCTGATATGTACTTAGAAGTGAGTTTGCTGGATGGTATGGCAGGTGAATTTTTAATTTTTCAGGAGGGTACATACCATTTTTCATAGTGGCTGAACCAATTTACATTCCTACCAGCAGTACTCAGGGTTTCCTTTTCTTCACACCCTGCTAACACTGTTCTCTCTTGTCTTTTTCATTATAGCCATTCTAACAAGCAGGAGGTAATTCTCAATGTGGTTTTGACTTGATTTTCCTTATAATCAGTGATACTGAACACCTTTTCATATATCTGTTGGTCATTCATATGTCTTCTTTGGAAAAATGTCTATTCAGTTCTTCTGCCCATTTTTTAACCAGATGACTTGTTTTTTTGCTATTGAGTTGTATGAGTTCTTTATGTACTTTGGATATTAAGCTCTTATCAGATATAAGATTTGCAAGTATTTTCTCCTATTCTATACTTTTTAATTTTATTGATGGTTTCTTTTGTTGTGTAGAAGCTTTTCAGGTTGATTAGTCATACTTGTTTGTTTTTCTTTTCTTTTACTGCTTGTGCTTTTGGGTATCATACCCCAAAAATGTTGCCAAGACCTATGTCAAGGAGCTTTTCCCCTACATGTTCTTAGTCCTTTATATATGGGCCTAGACAACAGTCAGAACAAAAAAAAGATTAATATTCTCCCTTTTATTTTTAACATACGTGGACACATTCAATCCCACTTTTCACTACTTCTTGTGTAGTTTACAAAAATATTCATTTGTACCCTGGGGGTTAATCTATCAGAGGTAACTATCAAGTTACGTTATTACTGACAGAGGCATTATCTTAGGAAATTAACAAGAAAAATGGCACAAACAGAGAGTTAATAATAGAAGAGTTTCTAGAATAACGAAGACCCGTGTAAAAACCCTGGAGCTGAAGGTGAGATGGTTGAGAAGGTAGAACCTTGCCTTTCATTGTCCTCACTCATGACCACTGAGTGCCTCAAGAACATTTGCTCCACTCTTGGATGGCAATGAAGACAACTCTCTGTTTAGAAAATGTAGTTTCTAGTTTCATGGGGAAACCCTTAAGAAAAAGTGCGGCTCTTGGATTTTCTTCTAAAAGAGGATTTTTGATTGTTAGCTTATTTTATATTGTGGTTAAAGAGAATCGATGTTCAAAGCAGAATGTTTGTAAAGCAAAGAATGATCACAGATTAGCTAAGAAGGGGAATCCAGTTATGTTTCCTTTGTTCCTGAGTCCCTAGTTCTTAGAAGGGGTTCCTGGGAAGGACTGTGTACTACAGAGGGTGGAGTGGGGCTCAGCGGCAGCAAGTCACCACTGTGTCCTTCTCCTGCTTTCGGTCACCACATAGCCAATGTAGACCCCTCAGGCATTAGAGCGTTAAAACAGCTCCAGAAAGAATTGGGCTATGGGTCCCAATCCTGACTCTTCCATGTATAACTGTGTGATTTGGAAAAGTTACTTAAGCTCCTGTATCTCAGTTTCCATCTGTGTGAAATGAGCTGATGACATTTTATATCTACTTCATGAAGTTGTGAGGATTAAAGAAGATTATACATGTAAAGTATCAAAGATAGTCACTGGGCCATTGTAAGTACCAAATTAGTATCCATTGGTCATGGTGGTACTGGTGATAGTGGTTGATGTGTCATCTTGATCCATGACAAATTTGTAAATCTTAATTTCTGGTTCCTGGTCATTTCCTCATTTAGGAGAAACTACGCCAACTGCGAGATTGCATTATTGGGAAGAGGCCAGAAGAAGCAAATGTCTATGGTAAGTAAAATTTGCCTATTATTTAAACATAATAGAGTAATGAAGTGGAAAAGGACATTGAAGTCAAGCAAGCCTGAGCTCATATCCACACTGCATCACTTCCCAGCTGGATGGCCACACAGTATCTCTAATCCCTGGTACTGAGGTTCCTCATCTGCAAAACAGGAATAATTATACATATCTTAAACTGGTTTAATAAGTTAACATATTAAATACTTTCACCTTCTCTGACCTATAATGTATGTTCAATAAGTGCTAGTTACGTTTTTCCTTGGATTTCAATGTAAGTTGAAAGCAAGATGATGCTCCTCTAGTTTTTATATATATATATATATGAGCCATTATAGAGAGTATTAAAATTTTTAAGGAGTCATACTTTTTTCATAAGATAGAATAGTCTCAATACAGTCAGTTCTCACAACTGTCCACATGTGGATCATTTTAAATTGCAAATCTCCTATTGCCTGGCCCTGTAGCTAGCATGCTTTTTGGTAAGGCAGATTCCCCTTGCTAATAATTAACAATTGCTCTTGGGGGGGGGGGCACTCATCTTAATGTTAATACAAACCAAACATTATTAAGATGGTAAATCTTCTCCAAAGATACACAACACATTGCAGAATTGAAAATAAATATGTTCTCACTATCTGACCATTCTTTCCCCCAAGTCTCTGCTCCAGCACAGATAATTAAAAGCTAACAGCCACTAGCAAAGCTTGAAATCTTTCATCTCTTCCATTTTCAATAATATTGCATAGCTTTTAGCTAGTGCTTCATATTGAAAGTCACCCTGTTAACATTCATTTTCTTTTTATATTATTGGGTTGTTATCTACTTTTCCATAGAGAATTCTTCAAGCTCTCTTGGAAATGTTGTCTAAAACAGAAATACTTTCTAAAATAATTGAAGTCATAAATAACTTATTTATGAGACTACTTTACAAATAACTAAGTTCTACAGCCTTTCATTCTAATGTGGAATAAGATGAAAATGTTAATATAGTATAAAATTACAAAATATATAAATAATTTTACTAAGGAACTTTAGTAGTAGTAGCTAATATTTATTGACTATCTATGATATTACCTTATACATTTCTTACAATAACATTTTGAGGTAGTCATTATTTCTAATTTATAAATAAGGAAACTAAGACTCTGAAACACTAAGATACCCAAAGACACACAGATTAGAAACCACAAACTATTTCTGTTTTGATTCCAAAATCAATGTTCTTAATCACTGGTGTCCTGATTAGAAATCAACTAGCTCCCCTTCCAGCCAAAGTGGAGTAATTCACCCACGTACAGAACACTAATATTGGGCAAAAATATGATGCAGTTTACTAACCAATATGAGTGGACAATAGACAACCTAAGGCTATATTTCCAGAGACAAGCAAAGCTTATGTGGTAGCTCTCATGATTCCCAGAGACTGATTTCCTGACTACAGTCTGTGCAAAACAAGGTAGTCCTGTTTCACTGAGGAGACAAAGATCAGAGTTCAGGGCAGCTGATTTTTCTGGAGTGTGGGTCACTGAAGCAGTAGCTGTGTAGAGGTAGCCTCAGGCAGAGTGAAAGACTCCACAGGTCTGTGCCTGAGAGATGAACTTTACAGGTGCAGAACTAGACCGCTCAAAGCACGCAAGATAGCAGTTTCTAGGGTACTGAATGCAAAACACAGACTCTCAAGTTTGAGTAGAGTTAGGGAATATCCATGCTGGTATATTTGAGTTTTTGCCCAGCCAGAGTGGAAAGGTCTCCTTAACACTCTGTTAAAATATCTGGTATCCTGCTGTGATATCAAGAAATGTAAGGAGTAAGAACTATGACTTAGGGTAAGATCTACTCTAGACTTGCCATAACAAAGTCTAAAACAAAGTCTCTGTAAAATCTACATGGCAGACAGACAAACAAACAAACAAAAACAACCAAATATGTTATATCTACCTGGCATATATTTTTTTCAGTGTTCTTTATTTCTTAGAGGGGATCTGAATTTGTTTTCAATATCCCTCACATTATATGACATTTTTAGCATTTATTTTATTAAAATTTTATTGTCTGTGAATTCTCTGATTTTATTTATCTGAAAATATATTTCAATAGAATATTTTAAGGATATTTTCTCTGGATATACAATTCCAATAGGTCATTTTTATGTTTAGTACTTCAATGATATTAGTACATTTCCTCCATTGTTTCTGTTAAGAAATTAGTGAATATTCTTATCCTTTTTTTATATATGAAATGTGATTTTTTTCCTCTGGCTGCTTTCAAGAATATCTCTTTATTTTGGCTTGAAGTAGTTTGCCTATATGAAGTCCTCATAACTGTTATGCTATTTGTAGTTTTTTGAAGTTCTTGGAACTGTATGGAAGCCGTTTACATTAAAATTATCAAGTTTTGGTCATTATTTATTTTAAAATATTTTGTCCCAAACTCTCTCTTGTCTCCTCTGGAACTTGAATTATATTAATGCTAGAATATGCTATAATGTTCTACCTGTCTCTGAAGCTCTGTTCTCTTTAAAGATTTTTATCTTCCTGGTCATCATATTGGATTATTTAATTGATTTGTCTTCAACTTTATTAACCCTCTCTTATATCCAATCTGTTGATATGCTCATCTGATAGTTTTATTTTTTTATTATAATTCCTACAATTTCCATTTGGTTCTTTTATACAGTTTCAATAATTTGCTGAGATTTCCTATTTATTTACTCCTTAAAACCTTATTTTTTATTAAGTTAATTATGTTTATCAAAGCTGCATTAAAGTCTTTGCTAAAGTCAACAATGGGATCATCTCAGGTGTGTATAGTGATAGTTTTCTTTTGCTTTTCTATGAATTACATTTTCTTGTTTCTTTGTATTTCTTCCTTTTAAAAAATTAGTTCTGGAATTATAGATCATTTGTTGTATATTTGGGATTCTATAATATTCTTCTCATGAGAGTAGGTTCTTGTTTTAGCAGGTAGTTTGATTACTGACATGAATTTCTGTAGGCTTGGTTTTATGCTTTTTTTGGTGTCGACCTATAGAAAGCCCCATGTCCTTTCTAAGGCCCTTCGTGGGACTAAGCCTACACTTAAGTTGGGAGTTATAACATATAACATAGAAAAAGATATCAAAACAATAATGCAAAGATAGTGGGTAAAGGTAAGTGGAATTACATGGTGGTAAAATTTTATATGATGAAGTTCAAAGTGTAGAATATGAAGAATCAGGTATAAAGAAGAGGAAAGGATAAGGTAGGAAGTATGAAGTGTCAAGTGTAAGGCATGAAGCACGAAGATGTACACTGTTGTCTCTAAATGTACTCTGATATGTTAAGGATGCATGTTTTAGTTATAAAGCAATTATGAATAGATGATAGATAGATAGATAGATAGATAGATAGATAGATAGATAGATAGATAGATAGATAGATAAACTGAGCACTGAAAAGCCATTTTATACCCCAAAATTAAAGCAGAAAGGTAGTAAAAGAGGAATATGAATAAAATAGTTTAGTTTAAAAAATAAGAACAAAATAGTAGTATTAAACTGAGTCATATTAATAATTATATTAAATAAAAATGGATTAAATAATTCATTAAAAGGTAGACATTTTCACACCCAGCCAGTGTGGCTCACTGGATTGAGAGTCATCCGATGGGACTGAGAAGTCCTGGTTAGTTTTCAGTCAGGGCAGATACCTGGGTTGTGGGTTCGATACCCAGTAGGGGGCATGTGAGAGGCAGCCAGCAGCCAATTGATGTTTCTCTCTCACATCAATGCTTTTATTTCTCTCTCCCTTCCTTTCTCTCAAAAAAAGTCAATAAAAACATATTAAATTTAAAGAGCCCTGGCCAGTTTGGCTCAGCGGTTAGAGCGTCGGCCTGCGGTCTGGAGAGACCCGGGTTCGGTTCCCGCTAAGGGCACGTACTTCGGTTGCAGTTTGTCCCCGGCCCTGGTTGGTCGTGCGGGTGGCAGCCACTCGATGTGTCCCTTCACATCCATGTTTCTCTCTCTCTCCTTTCCTCTCTCTCCCTCCCACTCTATCTGTACAAAAAAAAAAAAAAAATGGAAAAATATCCTCGGGTGAGGATAAAAAAAAAAAAAAAAAAAAAAGAGTTCTTTCCTTTCGTCGCTGCGGCAGCAGCCATGAGTATGCTTAGGCTTCAAAAGAGGCTTGCCTCCAGCGTCCTCCGCTGTGGCAAAAAGAAGGTCTGGTTGGACCCCAATGAGACCAATGAAATCGCCAATGCCAACTCCCGTCAGCAGATTCGGAAGCTGATCAAAGATGGGCTGATCATCCGGAAGCCTGTAACTGTCCATTCTCGGGCTCGATGCAGGAAAAACACCTTGGCCCGCAGGAAGGGCAGGCATATGGGCATAGGTAAGCGAAAGGGTACTGCCAATGCTCGAATGCCTGAGAAAGTAACCTGGATGAGGAGGATGAGAATTCTTCGCCGGCTACTCAGAAGATACCGTGAATCCAAGAAGATCGACCGCCACATGTACCACAGCCTGTACCTGAAAGTGAAGGGTAACGTGTTCAAAAACAAGCGGATTCTCATGGAACACATCCACAAGCTAAAGGCAGACAAGGCTCGCAAGAAGCTTCTGGCTGACCAGGCTGAGGCCCGAAGGTCTAAGACCAAGGAAGCTCGCAAGCGCCGTGAAGAGCGGCTCCAGGCCAAGAAGGAGGAAATCATCAAGACTCTGTCCAAGGAGGAAGAGACCAAGAAATAAAGCTTTGCCTCTCTTACCTGTACATAGTGGCCTTGGCAATTACATGGATCAATCATTTAATAAAAGTAGCCTTCATCTGTCAAAAAAATAAAAATAAAATAAAATAAAATAAAAAGAAAAAAAGCAGACATTTTTAGACTGGATAAAAAAGTAATACCCAATTTTATGCTGTCCAAAAGACATGTATTTTAAGTATAAGACACAAATAGGTTGAAAGAAAAGGATAAGAAAGCTGACATAGCTATATCAATACAAGAAAAGAAACTTCAATACAAACAGTATTACAAAAGATAAAAGAGGATATTACAAAATGATAAAAGGGCAGTTCACTAGGAAAATATAAAAATCCTAAATATTTGTTTCCTTTATACTATAAATGTATTTATGAGTTTTATCAAAACTCATGAAGCAAATTTTAATAGTACTCAGAAATGTTTTTACCTTTTTCTTAGTAATGAAAATAACAACTATACAAAAAACAGTAACAATATAGAAGATCTAAACAATACTATCAACTGACTTGATTTAATTGACATTTATAGAACAAGCCATTGAAAATATTTAGATGTTTGTTTAAGGTGTACATGGAAGATTCACAAGATAAGAAATTGGCTAGAGTATCAAAACTCTTTCAATGAATTTCAAAAGATTGAAATTTTCAGAGTATTTCTCTGAGAGATTTATTTTTTGAAATCTTTATATTCTTTTACCACAACAGAAATCTATTACAATTTAATTTTAAAAATTAGAAAATTTTCTCAAAATATTTAGGGATTAAATATGTTTCAAAATAACCCATATATCAAATAAGAAATCACAAGAAAAGATTTCAACTTTGATAATAATGAAAAATAACATAGAAATTTGTGAATACAACCAAAACAGTACTTAGAAATATATAACTATAAATGTTATAGTAGAAAAGATGAAATCTTAAGATCAATAATCTAAGTTTGCACCTTAGGAAACTAGAAAATGTAAAGCAAACTCAATCCAAAAAAGGTACAAGGAAAAAAAAATAAAGATACAAAATTGATGAAAGATATGAACAATAGAGAAAAATTTTAAGACCAAATATTCTTTATTTCAAAAAATAACTAAAATTGTAAGCCGATGGCAAAAATAAACATGGGGACAAAAGAGAAAACAAGACTTACCTATATCTAGAATATAATGAGGCCATTACATCTTGGCCGGTTTTTCTCAGTGGTTAGAGCGTTGGCCCTCGGACCAGAGAGGCCCGGGTTCAGTTCCCACTAAGGGCACGTACCTCTGTTGCAGTTTGTTCCCAGCCCTGGTTGGGTCATGTGGGTGGCAACCACTCAAAGTGTCTCCCTCACATCGATGTTTCTCTCTCTCTTTTTCCCCCTCTCTCCCTCCTGCTCTATCTGAAGATAAATGCAAAAAAAAATGTCCTCAGGTGAGGATAAAATAAATAAATAAATAAAATAAATGAAACTATTACAACAAATACTACAGAAAATAAAATGATACTAACAAAATACAATTAAGTATATGTCCATCTAAAAACATTCACAAAAAGCATATGTCCATCTAAAAACATTTAACAACTTGAAATCTTTCCTGCACGAAGTCAAGAACCCACACATTCCAAACCATGCTGGGGCAAACCTGCCTGGGATGAGCTGCCGCTGCCCACTGCTCCCTTGGTTGCAAGTTTCCTCAAAATCCTTAGACCTCAGGAGAAAGAAAGCAAAATTACACACCTGAGGAAAGGGTGGGACACAGGCGTGCTCAAAGGAGAGCATGCACTGGGTCCTTTGTCTTGAGAGTTTTATCTGTTTTTTGCAGGGGGACATTTTAGGGGAGGTCTCAGTCACAATATTCAACAGCTTTTCAGGTGTGTTTTTCAATAAGCTGATGTGTCAAAACGAGAATAGTGGGGTTTGGGATCATTCTCTGGTCAGCTTTCCCTCTATCTTGGATTTGTTCAGCTCTAATTGGGGGTTTTATTGTTGTTGTTATTTATCTGTTCTAGGGTTTGGCTGGCACAGTGGCACTAACTGAGTTTCTGTTACCTCTCTCCCTCACTAGGGTGATTTAAGCTACTTACTCTCTGGTTGGGGAGGAGAGAGGTAAACCATCTGCTTCTAAGTGCCTTTGGTTAGGGGAGATAAGAGCTTGTGATTTATTAGCTAACTGCTAATAGCTCAGCTGTTAGTTTAAATATTTTGTCTCTGTTTCTCCAATTGCCTTGCCAGGGAATTTTCCTAGCTTATTCCTCAACCTGCCTCACTTACCATTCAGCAATAAGAAAGAATACATTCTATTGCACACAACAACATGAATGAATCTCACAGATACTATGCTGAGTGAAAGATACTAGACACAAGGAAGTAGGCACTGTAAGGCTCCATTTACTGTAAGATTCCATTAATGTATCTATGATTCTAAGTAAAACTAATCTAACAGAGATAGAGATCATATCAGGAGTAATGATGGGGTGAGGATAGATATAGGGGGCACAAGGGGATTTTCTGTGGAGGAGAAATGTTCTCTATGCTAACCAGCTGTATAGGTTTGTCAAAAGTATACAATTAAAAATGTTTGAAATGGCCCAGCCAGTGTTGCTCAGTGGTTGAACTTTGGCCCATGCATCAAGATGTCACCAGTTCTATTCCCTGTCAGGTCACATGCCCAGGTTGTGGCCCCAATCCCCAGTAGGAAGCATGCAGGAGGCGGCCAATCAATGTTCTCTCTCATTGATGTTTTTATCTTTCTCTCCCTTTTCTTTCCTCTCTTTCTAAAATTCAATAAATAAAAAACCTTTTTCTTTTTAATATTTGAATTGTACTGTATGTAATTATTACTGAATAATGCTAATTTCAAAAAAAATGAAGTAGCCCATGCTAAAATAATATCAAAGCAGGAGGGCCAGGTTTTTTATTGTGTCAAACACATCTAAAATCATAATACCTGGGGGAAAGCACAGGAGGAAGAAAGACAGAAGTAATGAAAGACATGGTTTCTCACACTTAGTGGGTGCAGGTTAGTATTTTTTAAATCAGATTGTGAAATTTCATGCTCACCTGAAAGATAAGTAGTCAAACAATAAAAAGAATACATATTGAGCAAAACTCAATAGAATGTGTCTATTTGTTTTTTATCTTCTAGATAAGCTCACCATTGTACACCATCCAAATGGTAAGTGCTTGATATTTATTGGCGGCTTTAGGACTTAGTAAACCAGTTTCTATATGAATTAAACCTAATGTGATCAGGCAGATCAGTGTATAATCACACATAGTATTGGTATGCAAAAACACCTGACAACCAAAATAAACTGTGCGGTGGTTCTGGAATAGCGATGCTAGAGGCTTTGTTATATGGCGAAAGAAGCTTGTACTTTGAACTCTGATGGATCTGGCTGTTAGGCCTCAGTCTCCTCATATGTAAAATGTAGACAAGAATTCTACCTTGGGAATTGCTTTAAAGCTATATGTAAATAAGAGCTGATGTTTGATGAGTGGAAGTTTTGATAGAGCTAATGAAATCGGAGTAACACTTAAGAGAATGATTCACTTTAGTGTGACGGCAAGGAACGTGTGCAGAATGTTGGGAGGGCAAAAAGGAAATGAAGGTCAGCGAGGCAGCTGTTGGATAATCTAGAAGCAACTGTCTATGGCCTAAACCAAAATAGTGACTGTGGGACTGCAGAAGCAAAGAAGAGAGCAGTGTGTCTGGAATGGAAAACGAGAAGCCTATGCTAAAGGCAGGAGGGCAGTAGCATGAGCCAATGGGATGTAGCAGGAATCATTTTTCTTAAAAACTATATTTTGCAATTGGCAAATCTTGGCAAATGGGGGAAAAGCAAAAAGGAAGAAGGCATACTCAAATGGAGGTTGTTATTCAAAGGTGTTAGATTGTGTCTGAGCTGAAGTGACTTCTCAGCATCCTACCCAAGTCAATCTCTGTGGGCAGGAGAAATTAATGCGATACTTGCCAACGGTGCCTTTCTAATATGCCCTTTTATCTCCTTAGTAATTTTTCTCTTTATCCATATTCTTTGCATATATAAGTTTTTAAAGTTCTGAGTAAATGAATTGTTAAGTGTGTGAATGACTAAAGAGATAGTAACAGAGTTTATATTCCTAGGTAATGAAAGTGTCCACAGTGAAAATACTTTATATAGCATACCCTTCGGCAATAAGGTAGGTTGTATTTATCTTGATTTTTATAAAATGCATAATGAAATTTTTGTTGAGAAAGCACAAGAGCCTTCTCCTTTGATTATGCTTTGAAACATTCTGAAAACATGAATAAAACAGTTTACATAAGCATTTGTGTGCAAAATCCATGAGCAGTAATTTAAAGAAATTATTTGGAACAAAGCAAGGAAAGAACTTGATCAAAGGAAAAAGGCAATGAAGCCAAAGTGTAGCTTAATTCCTCATGTATGGACCAAAGAGCTCTTAGAGGAGGTATGAAGACATCATCTTTAGCAAGAGGAACATGATGAATCTATTTGAACCACAATGTAGGCAGTCCTGAAAGTCTACTTATAGGAAAAGAAATGTAACTCCAAAATATTGTTTTTGTGAATATGCATTACTTCACATTGTAGAGTGAACTAAAAATAAATTGCTAATGAGAAACTAAAAATAACACTAAACAAAGACAGCGGCAATCGAAAACCAAGACCAGTTCAACACAACACTGATAATGACCTGAACACAAATTTACCTTCATAAAAATTGTTATTCCAACTATCAGTATATGTGATGTAGGGAATTTGCTGTTATTCTAGGTCATATAGCAGCTGGATTTCTTGTTAAAATACAGAATTAGAGCCCTTCGTAAGTTCTCATAATAAACCAATTTTAGTGTACCAGATTTTAATAACACTAATCTCTTTAATGTTTCATATAAATCATAGGTAATCATAAAAACCATTCACTCTAAAGAACTAATTGAAGTATTTACATTTCTGGATCATTCTGGGGCCCACCAATGGGCTACAGACCTAATGAGTATACAATATATAGATTCATTCAACTCATTTGGCTCTAGCAGAATTATGGAATAACACCTAGGCCTAGGAATTTATGAAAATATTTTTGTCAAACAAAGATCCTTCTATGAAATCTACCGGGCTGTATAACCATGACATGTTATTTTGGAGTAAGATTTTAAATAAGAGAGAAAAATACAAATTCCCAACACATGGGCTGTTCTCCATCAAAATGGAAATGAAATTTGAACTCAAGGACTTCGATGAAGCTGAGTTTTACAATGCTTCTTTCCTTTTAAGATGGAGGATTGCTTTGTCAGTTGCCTCTACAAAGCTGTGTTTTCATGACTGTGAAAGGCAACGATGACTTTATCATGTTTCTTTGCTCAGCCTTAAAAATGGAGAAATGCTAGCTAACTCTTTATCTTTTTTCTTTCTTAGGCTCCTGCTCGATTCCAAGTCGAAAAGGAATTTGGCTTCTGTTGGAAAAAAGATCACTAAGAAAGGTAAAAAAAAAAAAAAAAAAAAAAGCAGTATTTTTAAAAAACCTAAAACAGACTTATTGGGGACTTGAAAGAATCATTTGTCTAGCAAACAGAATACTCTAAATGTTTCAGTTTCTTCTCCTGAACGAATAAACACATGTATTTTTCAAGCCAAAGGTGATTATTCCTTAGAAAGATTTATGTAAGGAGGTGATTTTATGCTAGCTAATCAATTTCAACTGATGATCCATTATTCACTAATACATTTCCTGTGATCTTGTTTCAGGTTATTATAATGAAACAAGAATCTGCAGACACTGTGCTTTCTGGATGAAGCAAGTTTGTATTTGCATTGCCGGCTGTCTGCAGGGCAAATCCGTGCTATGAAAGAGAAAGCAGTCCTCCGGATTTCAGATTTTATTATTGCCACCATTTATTGACATTGTATCTGCTTCAGATGGGCATATCAAGCCTAACATTGAATGCCATAGAGCAATTGCATTCTTTGACAATGAAATTCTTGCGTTTTTCAATGCACTTTCTCACTGAAGCAGCTATTTTCCATTTTGAAAATCGAAGCGAAAGCAGAGCAGCAAAGTTAAATGCTCTGTATCAGTTATTAGACCTGTTTTAGGCACTAACCTTAATAAATTACTCCTCCTGTCCTTAGAACAACCATGAAAATACAGATTTGTTTAGTATATATTTGCCTTTTAAGTGGCTGGTCCATTTTCTGAACTTCTCATATTCAAAACTATTATTGTCACATCATGTTTGCAGAAACCTTCCTATATTTTAGTTCTTATTTGCATATAAACCTGAGAATATTATTTTTCTAACTGTTTTTAATCTCATATTAATATTCATTTCTACAACCTATATCCCTAATTAAAAGACTTCCAATTTTATCAACTCATTTCTTAGACACAATTTATTAGCTCAGAATAGAAAGTGGTTTTACCATCCTCAGATTTTCACGCACAATTGCTGCAAATAAAATGAATGTTTAAAGCTATGTCTGACTTTTCAAAATCACTGCATAAAAACTGACTACTAAATTCTTCTGCTTACTGGTTTACAGAAACATCTACCAAAATTATTTGAAAACAAGTGAACTTGATTAATTTCACTGTATAGGGCCCAAAAAGTAGAATAAACACAAATAATGTTTTTCTAGCTTCTAGACGCTGATAGAAATGTCTATTTTTTTTTGTGATTCTAAAAATTGTTGATCATAGGTTTCTCAAGACTATTAACATTCTTAAATAAATTTGTTTTAAAAAATAATACAGTTTAGTGAATCCCTATATAAGCAGCTTTTGATTATTATATTTAAAAATTCAGTCAATAGTTTCACATGCAAGCTTTCAAGAAATGGCATGCTGTTCCACACACTGAACCCCTATGTCTATGGATGGTTGAACCCAAATATTTCGGGAAAGCAATAGGAAAACTGGCTGTTTTTCTATAACTTTCTCCATTTATAAAATCCAAATGTATGCATCATCTGTAAAGTTAAAATTTCCATATTAGCCTGTAACTGATGCCTACAGTTTCATGATTAGCTTATTAAAAATGTGAAATCCACTGACAAATAAAATGTTAACTTTCCTGATTATAATACAATTAGATCATCTTTTACCTGAGACTCAGTTAAGGGTGCAAGAAAAGGGCAGGAGATAAGGCCTGAAGTTATTCATATCTTTAAGGTAGATGGAAATCTTAATTTGGGATCTCTAAAATACTACCTTATGAACTGGGCTAACTTAGAATAAAACCATGGCAAAAAGTCCAATTAATAGCCTCTTTCCCTACACACCCTGGCCCTTGAAATCTTACTCTTTTGTCATCACAAAGACACATGAAAAAAGAAACATAAAAATCTCCCTGTGCTTCCTTTACCATGGCTGCTTAGCCTTTACCAGAGCAAGAACGTTGGTTAGACAAGGTTGGGGGATCAGGGGGAGGCCAGATCATACCTGTTGCATGAAAGGAAAAGATAAAAATAGAGAAATGCCAAGGCAGAGAAAAGGTAACTCAAGTTTAGAAATGATCCCAAATATAAATACTCCATAGGAAGCAATATTTTTAATCCCTGGGCTTTGTCCCTAACATATAGAATGCTGTCCATCAAATGAGAGCCACGCAACAGAAGCTTTGCCTTCATGATGAAAAATCACAGGACAGGGCAGAGGGGCAGGGATGTAGACGAGAAACATGTGACCTTTCCTGGGAGGTTTGGGACATTTCTCGAAGAGACCTAGTCACTGCCAGAAAGGAGAGAACCTCCATGAGAGAGCTTTGGAGGCTTTTCTGCTGATTCTGGAAGTCTGAGCTGCCTATAGCTAATATACTTGATCCTTTTCTTCATGCCTTCCTCAAATCAGGTTTGGTCCCAAGCCTTTATTCCTAACGTTAGCCAAGAGTCAGCCTCTTCCTCAGGTTCCTTAATTTACCATGACTCTGACTTCTAGAGAAATATGAACAGGTACTGAATGTTATCAAAGGAGTTTTATGTTTAATATTTATTTCTTTCTTTTTCCATTAGTCATTTTTCTATGATAACAAAGAGGAAGCATCTAGACCAGTAGTTTTCCAAGGAGTCAATTTTGTTCTCTTTGCCCTGGGCATTTGTCAATATCTGGAGACATTTTTAATGGTCATAATTACAAAGAAGGTAGTCCTGGAATCTAGTATGTAGACAAGGGATGCTAATAAACAGGACAGAGAAGTTTTCCAGTCCAAAATGTCAAAAGTGAAGAGGTTGAGAAACCCTGATTTAGACTACAAAGTAAAATGAGGTTAGCACTTAAAAAGTGTTGTTAAACTAAAAGCAGCTAACTTTATACAGAATTTTCTGAAAGTGGAAACCTTTATGAGAGCATAAACGAATGTCTTTCTTTTAGAATACAAATGGCTTAAGTTTAAATGGATCCTTAAATACTCAAAAGAATGCTTGACTCGAATACATTTTCATAAATCAAACATTAGATCATTCTACCAATGGAGACCCCAATTTTTAGACTTTTCTTAGTATTTTTCTAATGAGAATGACCTTGCCATTTGTGTCATTATTATATCCTATTGGACACCAAGTATTTGCTCATTGGAGTTCCTTCTCATTTTCTATAATGCTCATGGGGTCTGATTTTATTAACTTGGACTTACCTGAATTTTACTGCACATTGCTTTTCTAAATGGGTAAATATTTAGAAGAGAGATTTGTACCATGAGCCTGCTACTGTGGGTCCCAGCAGATGAGCACAGAGTTGATCTGAGACCCTGTTGCAGCCCTAGGTGTAGCTGTACCAGCCACACTTGCCAGCTGCCTTGCTCTGTGGGGCTGACCTTCAAAGGCAGGGATGATCACCTAAACAACAGCAAAAGGCAAGATTCTCAATACAATTGACCTCAAATGTATACATTTTAGTGCACAATTTCTTCGATATTTCCATCCTCAAAATGCAGACGATAACGCTTGTTACACAATTTTATGGGTTTTAGATGACGTCATGAACTACATGAGCAGGACAGTACCACATTCCAGAGCATGAGCTTTGAAGTTAGCATGGCCTGTTTGAATATTGGCTCAGATGTGTCCTCGTTGTGCAAACTAAGCCAGGTTGTCAGTCTCTCGGAGCCCTGTTTGATCATTGGTAAAATGGTGTTAATGATACCTACATTAGCATAGTTTGAGAATTAAATGTAAGGAGATCAGTTAATTAATTTATCATTCAAAGAGGACGTTTTGATGGTAAATGAAGTAGTGTTAATAAGTATGATAAAAAAGAAAACAGGCATGAACCAGGACTACCTTTCACATAAACTATGATATATGGTTATTTTACTAAAAGGAGATGTAAGTGCTTGGAACATTTGACTTGGAGTAAATTGTCAATGAAGATCGTTTGCAAAAAAAATGATCCTCTTTGAAATGTGATACACGAGGCTGACTTGTTATCTGACTGGCTCTGAAGCCCAGCCTTTAGCATATGATTCACATCCATATCATTATTTAAAAGAACCTATGGGGCCCTGGCTGGTTTGGCTCTGCGGTTAGAGCATCAATCTATAGACTGGTGAGTCCTGGGTTTGATTTCCGCTAAGGGCACATACTTCGGTTGAAGTTTGTCCCTGGCCCCACCAGGGTCATGTGGGTGGCAGCCACGCGATGTGTCTCTCTCATGTCAATGTTTCTCTCTCTCTCTTCCTCCGTCTCTCCCTCCCCCTCTATCTGAAGATAAATACAAAAATATCCTCGGGTGAGGATAAAAATAAATAAATAAATAAAAGAACCAATGAGTCCGGCTGATGTGGCTCAGTGGTTGAACATCAACTGATGCACCAAGAGGTTGCTGGTTCGATTCCCAGTCAAGGCACATGCCCAGGTTGTGGGCCTGATCCCCAGTGGGAGGCATGCAGGAGACTGCCAATCGATGTTCTCTCTCATCGATGTTTCTATTTCTCGCTCCCTCTCACTTTCTCTCTCTCTAAAATCAATAAAGGAAAAAAATAAAAATAAAAGAACCAGTGATTACCAAAAACGGCCACCTGGACCACCCATAAACACCAGAAGCCTCAAATGGAAAAACCCATCAATGGGAAGGTATGATAGCATTGTTCCCCAAGTTGTGTTGCAAGGACTCATAGGAACTGCATTAAAAAGGGGTTCTGTCATCAAGTGAGCTCGGGGGTGCTACATATTTTAGTCTCTTTTAAAATAGTACGTTAAACATTCAACTACTAAAGACTAAGTGGTCTTGTCTACAGTTTGAAAAATACTGGCTTGCATTTTATGTCTATGTTATAAGCTGGCCTCGTTTTCCACTTAATGAGAAAGAAAAACTGGCTGAAGGATGCACACAGTGGATGTGTTGACACGGAGCTTCTGAAACCTGGTTCCCTGGGAAACTGTGTCAGGATTAATTGATGGTGTTTGCCACGGATAATGGTGTGATGGGATGAGGGGAGTGGTAGCATACATGATACTTATTCGGCATTCAGGATTTATACTTGGTTATTTAGCATAAAGTGAAAGATTAAGTTCTAAATTTTGCAAATAATAAAAATGAGCTTCAGTCAGAATACTGTCTTCAAACAAATGAATTAGTAAACTCCTCTCGGAATAAAACACTAAATTCTGTTATAAAATACTTTGTATGTCTTCAAGTCTACAGCAAGCTTGGTTCCACTGAGAAGTATATAAGATCATTCAGAGATGCTGTGCTTTGAAACGTATTCAATGCAGAAGAAATTTCTGAGTCCGTGAAAAGCAATGGGATAGCTTTGCTGAAAATGTGCACTGTAGCAATAGGCGACCCTCAGAGAGAAATTTAGTCTCAGAAAATTAACTAATAATTTCTGATAGATCATCTCTTTTATTTCTGAAGGAGGGGATGGACATGTTATGTATCAGGTATGATAGAGGTGCTACAGTTTGGCCCCCAGCACTTCCTCTTTTCTTCATTTGACCAAAAGACAGACAAGGGGTTTGGGACCATGTGAACTGATGCTGTTTTAGCATTCATGCCTAGCACTCAGTGAAAGTATTTTCAGTCGCATTAAGGAGCCGTAAACATCCTTGCCAGTCATTGATATTTGTCATAATGTTGTAAAATGAGGTGTTCTGTAACTCAGGCATTGCAAGTCATGCCCGGTAACTGCCAATTCTTCTGCAGCAGCAGACTGAGGGATTCTGGCAGATGACCTGTCATTGACAGTGACATTAAAGGGCAGAAGAAACTTACTTTATGATCACCATATGTCCTCCTCCTCCTC